TTACCTGTATTTTGTTGAAATGAGCTATAATTGCATCATTTGTCATCTGCATAAAGTTCTCGTACGAATTGTCCTTGTATTTGGCGATTACTGCACTTGCAAAGTAGTAGATCTGTAAAATTATCAACTTCCTCTTTTGTTAAGAAAAAATGAGACAAATAAATTCTGATGCAAACTCACGGCGAAATCGGTAACATGAGGATTTGCTTCCTTCATGAACGTCAGCTGATCCGACGCATCATTCAGTTTACCAGACATGAGATTTGATAATGTCACCGCTTAAAAATGCACCAAACTTCAAGATGGATAGGTTAGAAAAGGTAAAAATGGTAACCTACCAAGTGTGGCATATGGATCATCGCTGTCTAACAACATAAGTTCCTTCATTTTTGCTGACACCTCCCTGACATCTTCGAGGGATATGGCAACCCGTAGCTCATCGACTACGTATTCGGCATGTCGCGATCTCTTGTTCGCCCGAGCTAGCAGCTCTCTAAAGCATCAGTGATAAAGAAAAAGGTTGTTGACTGCTGAAGGCTCTTAGAAAGCAAAAATATTAGTAGTTGATTAGTCAATTCGTTACTTCGCTACTTTTTGCGTTCAGGGATGAAGCACACAACCGAACTATACAAGCGGAGTAAAAAATAAGTTAACTGGATAAAGGTAAGTTAAATCAACGGACCTGCAAAAGGCTAGTACTGTCCTGTTTCGTGCAGCCATTTTGTAGAGAGCATTGGCCATATTTGCAAAAAGAGCATGATTATCATTCTCATTCGCATCTAGCGCAGTCTGAAAGAAAATTTTGTTAGCAATAAGGTGCTGCGGAACACAATGTAGAGCCAACTTTGATTACTCACCTGCAACTCGTTTAAAGTTGTTTCAATCTTATTGCCAATGGAACATATGGAATGAACTGCTAAGAGGAATTGAATCAGGACGTTATCCGACTGAAATCAAACTTTTAAGCGTAAAGAAGCCGAATCTAATAAGTGCAGCGTCGCGTTGAAGAAACAATCTAAAGTAATTTGAGAAAAAAATGTCATTTTTTGCTGGTTGATAATAGGTTGGAAATATTTTTCTATGAAATGCTGCAAACTTAAAGGCAATGAAATGCTATATTCTCTCGAAGTTTGGTCGCCGAATCTGGTAATTTTGCTCAATTCCATTTTGTCGGCAACATTTAAAATTTTAGGTGATGCAGCGGGTGGAGCAAGTGCGCCAGTGAAGTGCGCGGCCAGAGGAATGAGACTTTCTGTCCCATAATGATTGGTAAAGTTTGCAAATTGTGTTCCAGGAAAAAGTTCAGTTGTGTGTTTCTTAGGGTGGCATACAAAAAACAGCTTGTCGAAAATGCCCTCATAATTCGGGCACCTTCTGCTTGTCGAAAATGCCCTCATAATTCGGGCATTCCTTCTGCTTTAAACCGCGATCAGAAAAAAATTGTGCCCAGACCTGTCCTTTTTGAATTTCTATGTGGAAATCCGCGCCGGATTGTCTAATTGCCAGGGTCGGCCGGTTTGAGCCAAGCCTAAA